AATATCTTCAAATGTTGATGAGTTGTTACATAAGCTCTACCAATTCACAATTTATTATCATGTGTGGTACATATTCAAATTTTCAATAGAAAATGAAATTTTGACCTAGATTAAAAAAAATTAAGATTCATGTCCGTCAGCCCAGAGATAACTACAGTAAACATTCTGGTGTATTTTTAAGTTCTTATTAGATTTTTATAACTTAGTTTGGTTCATATAATACTGTTCCCTAACATTTTGTTATGAAAATTTTCTATTTTATAAATACTTTTATACCTATTGCTTAGATTCTACAATTAATATTTTACTATGCTATTTGTTGTTCTTTTGAGGCAGAATTTTTTTTTTAGAGAGAGAGAGGTGTGTGTGTATATGTGTGAGTGTGAGTGTTTGCTTGGGCTAGAGTGCAGGGCATCTTCATAGCTCACTGCAACCTCAAAATCCTGGGCTCAGGTGATCCTCCTGCCTCAGCCTCCCAAAGTGCTAGGATTACAGGCATGAGCCACTGTGCCCACCAAGGCCAAATTTATATATAGTGAGAAAGCATTATACACATATATTGCCATTCAGTGAGTTTTGAGAATACCTTTGTAACCCAAACTCCTATCAAGATATAGAACATTATATCTCCCTAAAAGTTCTTATGTGACCTTTTCTCAGCTGGTCTTCCCACCAACCCCAGAGACAACCACTGTTCTGGATTTTTTTTCCTACCATAAATTAGTTTTGCCTTTCTAGGACTTTATCCAAATAGAACCTATGGTTTGCATTCTGAAGGCTTCTTTCACTCAGCAAGTTCACCTTTTTGTGGAGTAGTATTTCATTATATGGATGTACCACAGTTAACTGTTTTCCTGTTGACACATGGAACCCTAGTGCAGAGATCTTCTTTGGCAAGGAGCATTAATAATGGACATGGTTGAGTTGAGGCCAATAGATATATATGCACAGCTAGTTACTAGTTCTGTCACAACAAACATTAAAACAACTTTTAAAAACTGCTTTTAAGGCCGGGCGCTGTGGCTCACGCCTGTAATCCTAGCTCTTGGGAGGCCGAGGCGGCAGATTGCTCAAGGTCAGGAGTTCAAACCAGCCTGAGCAAGAGCGAGACCCGTCTCTACTATAAATAGAAAGAAATTAATTGGCCAACTGATATATATATATAAAATTAGCCGGGCATGGTGGCGCATGCCTGTATCCAGCTACTCGGGAGGCTGAGGCAGAAGGATACTCAAGCCCAGGAGTTTGAGGTTGCTGTGGTTAGGCTGACGCGCACGGCACTCACTCTAGCCTGGACAACAAAGTGAGACTCTGTCCGCAAAAAACAAAAACAACAAAAAACTGCTTTTAAAAATGCACAGAAGTGTTCCAGCTTTGGTTCCACAGTACTAATTCTTCATCTAAGAATAATCTCATGACAAACAATATATTCGGGCCAGGTGCGGTGGCTCACGCCTGTAATCCTAGCACTCTGGGAGGCCGAGGCGGGTGGATCGCTCAAGGTCAGGAGTTAGAAACCAGCCTGAGCAAGAGTGAGACCCTGTCTCTACTAAAAATAGAAAGAAATTAATTGGCCAACTAAAAATATATAGAAAAAATTAGCGGGGCATGGTGGCACATGCCTGTCTCAGCTACTCGGGAGGCTGAGGCAGAAGGATTGCTTGAGCCCAGGACTTACTTTGAGGTTGCTGTGAGCTAGGCTGATGCCATGGCACTCTAGCCAGGGCAACGGAGTGAGACTCTGTCTCAAAATAAATAAATAATATATTCAGAAGGGAAATAGAATTCTTTCCCTCCTGTTTCCAGAAGAATTGATTGCTGCTTTTTCCCTTTTGCTGAACAAAACCATGGTTTTGGTTATATTAGGAACATTTGTTTTTTGTTTTGTTGTTAGTGTCAGTCCAGGTAACACTGAGCATAGAACATATTTTTAATTCCTAAATAAATGATGCAGTTCAGATACAAGTGGAAAATTATGGCAATAGACATGCATTTCTTTCCTCCCTTGAGTGTTTTCCTGTTTCATTAAAATCTTCATAAACTGAATATTTCATCTTGTATTTGTGCCTTAACTATTGTAATTTTTTTGCATGATTATGTGTGTCTTTGTATCTAATTATTTCTTTTTAATAGATTGAAAAGTGTTATTTACTCAACAGAACTAGACCAGGAAAGAAAAAAAAAGAAAAGTGTTATTGATAGGTCAGAGGGTTCTGAACATTTAAAGTTCTTAATACACACATTGCTAAATTGCTTTCCACAAAGGTAAGCAGTTTACATTCTACTACATAGCACATAAGAATAGTCATGTGCCATTGCCAGTTCTTTTTATTAGAAATGAGGTGAAATGGAGAAAAAGCATGATATTCCTTGGATATACTTGTTTAGGAAAGAACTAACTTTTTTCAGAGGACATGGGGGTAAAGTGTTAGCATTGTGTTAGCTGCGACCCTTTACTTTTTTGGCATTGAGGTAACAGTGGGCCAATCAGAAAAGAAGATAGCATAAAGTTTATTCATATATTTTGCCATAAAGGTGACTAAGTTTATAGGGTTTAGTTCTGAGTTTCTCCTCTGATTTGTACACGTGGTTCTCTTTTTTTTTTATTACACAGTCTGAAGAAAATTCGTGGCAAAGTCTGGAAGCAGAGAATATCTAGCCCTCTGTTCAACACCAAACAATACACAATGGAACTAGAGCGGCTCTATCTACAGATGTGGGAGCATTACGCAGCTGGCAACAAACCTGACCACATGATTAAGCCTGTTGAAGTCACTGAGTCAGCCTAAATAAAGACTGTGCACAGAAGAATTACCCCTATACCTGAGCCTCAACCTTCTGGGGGAAAGGGAACTAGATAACATACTTCTTACTTATCTGTACAGTACCATGTTGCAGATGGGTGATATATAATGGTAATAGAATAGCACAGCCAGACTTGATTCCTGCATGATAGGGAGAGACACAAGAGATGGATGGGAAACTGCTGTTCCACAAGGAATCTCCATAGAATTTTGCAGCAACGAGGTGGTGCATAGGTCTGGAAGTTCTGATCTCCCTTGGTCTTCCATGGGATGGTTAGTGTGGAGGGGAGATACAGATTGTCCAGCCGTTTTGTGATTCCATGGATTGATTGAGTCTTCTGAATTCATTTTTTTTCTTTATATTTTGGGTATTGGAGCTTTTAAAAATGTTTGGTTTCAGGTATTTTTATTCATGTGAAGTGTATATGATTCTTTTGAGAATAAGGTTTTAAGCTAAAATGTTACTCCCTTAGTTTCTGAACTCTGACAGATCAGTGGGGACTTTGCTGGTGTAGTCTTTTTATAGGTTTTATAAACCACTTGAGCCTATATCAGTCATTTTAGTGTCTGACCTAATGTTTGGAGCTATCAGTGCTATGTTGGTTTAGATGATGACTCAAAATATTTTCTGGTCCACTTCCCATTTCCTTCTCTCCCCTTTACCCTCTTAAAATTTCTCCTGTAACTCAGCTAACAAAACCAAGTCTGATTCTCAAAACATCCCAGAGTGTTTCTCTTTATACACACCATCTGGTGCCAAATGAAGATTCTTAGGAGTGATTATTAATTATGAAGGGCACAGTTGTGGTACTGTTTGATAATAATATAGATTTTTTTTTTTTTTTGCTGAATTTTGACCTATTTTACCAGTGTTTTACCCCTGACTGCCCCTTCTATGCTGCTTCCAAAAGTGATAGTGTGTGATAAGATTTTGACCTTCCTTTCTAAAGTTTGTTTTTTTTTTTAAGTGAGTCCTGTTCTTCCTATTTCTTTCAGCAGAAATGAAATCCCAGGTAAGTATAAGTATTCAAATATTTGATCAGTAAGTCACAGTTATCTTCAATATATTAAATAATTTTCATCAAGAAACATAGGTAAAATCTCTGAAGGACCATTTATGTATACAAGTAATTATTTTTCAGACCTTGTAGGGTATTATAATAACTGTGTTCTGGACTTGGTCTTGAAGTCTGTACAGATTCAGCCTGGATAGTAGTGAACTGCACTGCTACTTGGTTTGGAGTATAAATTAGACTTTAGTCCTACTGGAACTTGAGTTATTGGTATTAAAAATCATAGGAATAAAATTATTGAATTTCAACAAAGGGTCGAGGGCTTGGGCTTAAGCCAACATATGAATATATGTTTTGTCTTGCTGTACTGCACTTACGCTATCTAGTCGCAGATAATTTTTTGTCTGCCAGTAGTGTTCTAGATTATAATGTCTTTCCAAAGCGCTGAGGCAGTGCACCTATTGTGTAGTTGCAGCTGATGCCTGAATGTATCCTAGCTGACAAATTATTGATTAACAAGAACTTGAATTTCTGAAAGATTCTTACTGCTAACCAAATTCTGAGCAAGGAGTCTCAAATGTAATTCTGAACCTGAATTACATGTTAATGAACTGTGTACCTTTTAACAGTATAAATCAAGAAACATCAGTTAAGGGATTTCTTAATTTATTTTTTACCTGATTTAAATATCAGTTAAAGGTTGCCAGCATGGTTGCAAATAAACTGATATTTGAAGTTCACCGAACTACTTAATGTGGAATAGGATAATATACTTCCAATGCCCTTGAGGCTGTGACCTTACAGCCATTTTACATAGCACATCATTCCTCCTATAGGGATGAACTTTTTCCTGGCACGTAAAGTAGCCGCTCTGGTCGAAGCTTTGCTTATTGTAACAGGCTTTTATTTCCAGGTAACATGTCTGTGGAAGACTTAATTCTGAATAGAGATATAGATATTACTGGAAACTAATTGTTTTTTCTATTGTACTCTGCTTTATCAAAAAAGTAAAACATTTAATTGTGCTACAGAAATTCAGATGTTGTCTTGCAATCTTTAAACAATAAATGAGTGATTTCCCCTTAATATGGCTGATGTATTTTGTGTCCTGTTATATTGAGTGTTGGACTGAATAATAGTGTCATCTAATGATTAAACCTACATTCAAGTACATAATTGTACCTACATTTAGGTACAAAGAACATAAAAAACAATCAGGTTTCCCTACTGTAGCTATGATACTAAGAATTGTTTTCTTAGTCAAGTCTGGTGGAACAGTGGGGTTGGTTTATGAACCATTTAAGAAGACAAAGCCTTTGGACCCCCGGCCCTCCAATCCATCTTGGTCCTCTTTTGCTTATGACCTCTCTGGCTTTATTTTACCTTTGTAGTCTTGTTCTTTATGTGGACTAGTGTTGTCTTGGTTCTTGGGGGCGAAATTATCTTCCTCGTTTGTACAATGGTTGAACTCTGCCATGAGGCTGAGGGAGGAGGCGATCAGTACATCAGAGAGCTGAGCAAGCTGGCGGCAGTTTTCTCAGAGATGGAAATGAGAGGGAAAATGTTTTTGAATAAAAATGTATGTTCTGGAGGGTTTCAAGTAAAGAAAAAAAAAAATTAAGGTAATTGCCCAACTTCTGTTCTTTGTGCCTTCAAAGCCTTACTGTGGATTAATGTTTGTTTCCTAAAAGATGGTGTGTGAAGAAAGGTGTCCAGTAGCCTGCGCATAAAAGTTTTTATCCATACCTTCTTCTATTTAAGAATCTGCACCAGTTATTTCCAGTCTACTTCAGCTTTTGCCTCTAAGGGGCTTACTTGCACACCTGGAATAAACTTGTGTGATTTACTGTATTTTATTTTTTCTTTATTTTTTTTTATACTTCAAGACAACTTTTCAGTTTTGTGTGATTTATGAACTGTCTGTTTTAGGGTTGTATTCCAATCCTAACCCACTCTTTTACTTGAAGCACATGCCTCTTAATGACAGCTCACATTTAGGTTCTTTGCCCAGACCTCTCAGGCAGAGTTATGAAATCCTCATTATTATGGAAGAGGCTTGTTAGAGGTTAATTTGCAAGTCCGTGGTAGAGATAGAGTAATAGACCCCTTTAATCCAATTCAATTGAGAAAGTACCTCTTTGTTTGTAGGGATTGTAGGCAGTCCGCTGCGGAAGAGTAGGTTTTGGAACTAGATTGTTGGAGTTTGAAGCCCAGCTATCACTTTCTAGTCATGTGAGCTCTGTAAAATATGAGTGCCTACTTTTAAAAGTGTCATTGTAAGAATTAAATCCACATAAAACACTTGGAACAATGCCTAGCACAAAATAAATGCAGGGATGTTTTATTTATATTCCGTTGGCCAAATGCTTTTTTTTGTTTTGTTTTTTTCATTCTTTAGCCAAACGCTTAACTTATGAAATGTATGGATGTCTGCAGGAGAAATGGGCACAGTCTGGAAAGCATTTGCTTCCCCTGTTTTTCTTGGTGTGTTTGGAGTGAGCCCCGAGCTTCGCAGTTAACTTCTCTCTTTATCTCCAGAGTTTGGAGGCTTCTGAAAGCAAATGTCATAGTTTGGTGTTGCCAGGCTCTGTTGGGTCGCTGCTTTGCTATTATCTTGGGGGTCTATGTGCCCCACCCCCCTACCTCCAGCTCGGAGGGCAGGCAAACCGACTTAGAGATATGGGCAATTCAAGCAAGGAACAAATCTGGCTTATCCAAATTTCCATAAGGATGGAACTTTGTTAGGGGAGGATTCAGCTCGGTTTTCCTTATCTCTGAGAAAGTTAGGGAACTTCAACTACAGAATCTGGCTCAGTCCGAGGTCTGTATTGAAATGGCGCTTTCGGGACAAACAAGCAACACCCCGTGGAAGTGATAGACCTGATTCCGGAAGCACTGTGGCTAGGCGCCAAGTTTAAATTCATAACCGTGAAGTTCAGATTTTGTTGTCTGGTGATCCACGCTGTGATAGGTGGGTATAGGAGCACGGGAATACGTCAGTTCCTACCCCCTGCTGGGGCGCTGGGCTCTATAAAACGGTCTCGCGCCTGGCATCACTCCCCAGTTGCTCAGGGTCTTGCACACCTCCAACTGCCAGTTGTAGGTGAGCAGGAATCCGCCACGCTGGAGGCCGCAACACCGGGTAGGTGACTGGTGAGACTGAGATGGGCACTGAAGCTGAAGCGGGAGCAATCTAGAAGCTAATTCTAATCGCGCTGATTTAATTAAAATCAGGACTACCATGTACTTTGGACTCTGATTGCCTGTGGATTTTGGGACTGAGATTGAGGCAAAATATCTTGCCAGTTTCCATGGGGAGGGGGGAGCTTCTGGAAGAAGGGATTTTGTTTTGTTAATGATATTTTCGTATGGTGAAAATGGGGAATGGGGAGGACAGATATGTGGGGGTGGGAGGAAGGGGGGGCCGGGGGCTAGAGGGTGGTTCGGGGCTGTAGGTCCAAGAGGCGGAAGAACGGCTGGGGGCTTGAGAGTAGGGGATGGAAGCATGTTAGGGGGCCTGGGCCCGAGTGACGGAAGATTTGGTGGAGTTGGGGGGTGTAGGGACATTGGAGGCCTGGGGGGAGGTGGCGGGCCAGTGGGGGTGTGGGGATGGTCGAGGCCTGATCCGTGGGAGATCGGAGGGCAAGATGAGGTGGGAGTGGAGGGGGGTGGAAGTGGGATTGCGTGTGTGTGTGTGTGGGGGGGGGGTGTCGAGTAGGTTGAAGACTGGTGGTGGAAGGCAGGAGTGAAGGGGAGGGTAAGAGTTTTGATCGAGGCGTGGGGGTAGTAGAAGTCTGATTGGTGAAAGACCAGTGGGAGGTGGGAATAGTGGTGGGGAGAGGGTGGAGGGGTCCAGGCAGGATGGTGGAAGGCCACCTGAAGGCATGGGACAGTGAGGGGGGGAAGGGTGAAGGGGTCGAGGCCTGATTGGTAGAAGACCAGCAGGAGGGCGGGGATAGTGGGGGGGAAGGGTGGAGGAGTTGAGCCCTGATTGGTGGAAGACCACATGGAGGCGGGGATAGTAGGGGAAGGGTGGAGGGGTCGAGACCTCATTGGCGGAAGCCTGGTTGAGGCGGGAATGGTAGGGAGAGAGTCTGGGCCTGATGTTAGGCAGGAGGTGTGGGGAGTGGGTAGAGGGTTTGAGGCCTGTTTGGTGGAAGACTGGCTGGGGGCGGGAGGCCGCAGTAGGATGGGTAGAGACCTATAAGACCAGTGGGAAGCTGGAGTAGGAGATAGGGGAGGTTGGGAAGAGGGGAGGTGGGAGGGTAGCCGTGGACTAGTTTGGGTAAGACCAGCTGAGAGTGGGGAGTAAGGAGGTGGAGGATGGGGAGGGTGGAAAGGCCCGCCTAATAGGTGGAAGACTTCCTTTGGGTGTGAGGCGGGAGTAAGGGGGGTGGAGGCGTGATGGGGGTGGAGGCGTGATGGGAGGTGGAGGACCTGCTGAGGCGTGGGGGTGGATGAAGCCTGGTCAGTGGAAGACTGGCTGATGAGGGGAGGGGAGTGGGGGTGTGGGGTGGACGAGGCCTGAGCAGGGAAGACTGCCCGAGGGGTGGGGTGTGTAGGGGTGGGAATCTGAGGGTTGAGAGAGCACTGGGCGGGGGACGGGTAGGGGTTTATGCATGCTAAAGCCTTTCTCTGAGGAGAAAATTTGTCTGGGGGCTAATAGGTGCAGGCTGCCTCCCTAATCGGGGTTTGAACTGACTTAAGCTCAGGGGCCGTCCTGCGCTTTGGGCTTTCTGATTGGCCTGCAAAGAACCAATACACCATGGGCGATGGTGTGGTGCCCGTCGCCCATGGGCGATACGCCATGTTTCTAGTTTTCTCCGTCCAGGAAGTCTGCACCAAAATTTTTAAATATTTCTTATTTCAGAGAGCAAAGTTTCGGCTTTAAATTAGGGTGAAAAAGATGCCAAAAGATAAATGCAGACGGTAGAAATGTTTTACTGGTTCTGAGTTCTGATTTCCTTAAGAAAGCATCTCTTTGTCTTGACTACAGACATGGACAGGTCCGAAGAAGAGCCTGGCCAATCGTACTTCGAGGATGATGATTGGTGAGATTTTAAAAGTTCTATTGTCCCTTAGTTTAGTCTTACTCTGTTGGTGAAACAAGTTAAAAATTAAAAGTAAAAATATTATTCCCTAGAGACAGTGAAGACAAAAAAGAAAAAAAAAAAAAGAAAAAAAATATTAGAGGAATGCATAGGTAGGTTTTGTTTCCAATAATTTTGGAGTGGAAAGGTCTAAGTTTGATATCAAACAAAAAGCATAAAAATGGCAAATAAAAACCTAGAAAAATATTTGCATTTCATATGTAAAGGGCTTTTTTCCTTAATCTATAAAGAACTTTTATAAATCAATAATTTAGAAAAAGGTGAGCAAACACATAGTAAATGAGCAAAGGATATTAGAACGTAGTTTTCTGGGAAAGAAATACAAATGGCCCATAGACATTAAAATTTATTCAACTTTCAATTATATTATTATGACTATTCGTCACAACAAACATTAAAACAACTTTAAAAACTGCTTTTAAAAATGCACAGAAGTGTTCCAGCTTGGTCCACAGTACTAATCTTCATCTAAGAATAATCTCATGACAAACATATATTCGGGCCAGGTGCGGTGGCTCATGCCTGTAATCCTAGCACTCTGGGCCGAGGCGGGTGGATCGCTCAAGGTCAGGAGTTAGAACCAGCCTGAGCAAGAGTGAGACCCTGTCTCTACTAAAATAGAAAGAAATAATTGGCCCAACTAAAATATATAGAAAAAATTAGCGGGCATGGTGGCACATGCCTGTCTCAGCTACTCGGAGGCTGAGGCAGAAGGATTGCTTGAGCCCAGGATACTTTGAGGTTGCTGTGAGCTAGGCTGACGCCATGGCACTCTAGCCAGGGCAAGGAGTGAGACTGTCTCAAAATAAATAAAATATATTCAGAAGGAAATAGAATCTTTCCCTCCTGTTCCAGAAGAATTGATTGCTGCTTTTTCCCTTTTGCTGAACAAAACCATGGTTTTGGTTATATTAGAACATTTTTTTTTGTTTTGTTGTTAGTGTCAGTCCAAGGTAACACTGAGCATAGAACATATTTTAATTCCTAAATAAATGATGCAGTTCAGATACAAGTGGAAAATTATGGCAATAGACATGCATTTCTTTCCTCCCTTGAGTGTTTTCCTGTTTCATTAAATCTTCATAAACTGAATATTTCATCTTGTATTTGTGCCTTAACTATTGTAATTTTTGCATGATTATGTGTGTCTTTGTATCTAATTATCTTTTAATAGATTGAAAGTGTTATTTACTCAACAGAACTAGACCAGGAAAGAAAAAAAAGAAAAGTGTTATTGATAGGTCAGAGGGTTCTGAACATTTAAAGTTCTTAATACACACATTGCTAAATTGCTTTCACAAAGGTAAGCAGTTTACATTCTACTACATAGCACATAAGAATAGTCATGTGCCATTGCCAGTCTTCTTTTTATTAGAAATGAGGTGAAATGGAGAAAAAGCATGATATTCCTTGGATATACTTGTTAGGAAAGAACTAACTTTTTCCAGAGGACATGGGGGTAAAGTGTTAGCATTGTGTTAGCTGCGACCCTTTACTTTTTGGCATTGAGGTAACAGTGGCCAATCAGAAAAGAAGATAGCATAAAGTTTATTCATATATTTTGCCATAAAGGTGACTAAGTTTATAGGGTTAGTTCTGAGTTTCTCCTCTGATTTGTACACTGGTTTCTCTTTTTTTATTACACAGTCTGAAGAAATTCGTGGCAAAGTCGGAAGCAGAGAATATCTAGCCTCTGTTCAACACCAACAATACACAATGGAACTAGAGCGGCTCTATCTACAGATGTGGGAGCATTACGCAGCTGGCAACAAACCTGACCACATGATTAAGCCTGTTGAAGTCACTGAGTCAGCCTAAATAAAGACTGTGCACAGAAGAATTACCCTATACCTGAGCCTAACCTCTCTGGGGAAAGGGAACTAGATAACATACTCTTACTTATCTGTACAGTACCATGTTGCAGATGGGTGATATATAATGGTAATAGAATAGCACAGCCAGACTGATCCTGCATGATAGGGAGAGACACAGGAGATGGATGGGAAACTGCTGTTCCACAAGGAATCTCCATAGAATTTTGCAGCAACGAGGTGGTGCATAGGCTGGAAGTTCTGATCTCCCTTGGTCTTCCATGGGATGGTTAGTGTGAGGGGAGATACAGATTGTCCCCGTTTTGTGATTCCATGGATTGATTGAGTCTTCTGAATTCATTTTTTTCTTATATTGGGTATTGGCTTTTAAAAATGTTGGTTTCAGGTATTTTATCATGTGAAGTGTATATGATTCTTTTGAGAATAAGGTTTTAAGCTAAAATGTTACTCCCTTAGTTTCTGAACTCTGACAGATCAGTGGGACTTTGCTGGTGTAGTCTTTTTATAGGTTTATAAACCACTTGAGCCTATATCAGTCATTTTAGTGTCTGACCTAATGTTTGAGCTATCAGTGCTATGTTGGTTTAGATGATGACTCAAAATATTTTCTGGTCCACTTCCCATTTCCTTCTCCCCTTTTACCCTCTTAAATTTCTCCTGTAACTCAGCTAACAAAACCAAGTCTGATTCTCAAAACATCCCAGAGTGTTTCTCTTTATACACACATCTGGTGCCAATGAAGATTCTTAGGAGTGATTATTAATTAGTGAGGGCACAGTTGTGGTACTGTTGATAATAATATAGATTTTTTTTTTTTTGTGAATTTGACCTATTTTACCAGTGTTTTACCCCTGACTGCCCTTCTATGCTGCTTCCAAAGTGATAGTGTGTGATAAGATTTTGACCTTCCTTTCTAAAGTTGTTTTTTTTTTTAAGTGAGTCCTGTTCTTCCTATTTCTTTCAGCAGAATGAAATCCCAGGTAAGTATAAGTATTCAAATATTGATCAGTAAGTCACAGTTATCTTCAATATATTAAATAATTTTCATCAAGAAACATAGGTAAATCTCTGAAGGACCATTATGTATACAAGTAATTATTTTTCAGACCTTGTAGGGTATTATAATAACTGTGTTCTGGACTTGGTCTTGAAGTCTGTACAGATTCAGCCTGGATAGTAGTGAACTGCACTGCTACTTGGTTGGAGTATAAATTAGACTTTAGTCCTACTGGAACTTGAGTTATTGGTATTAAAATCATAGGAATAAAATTATTGAATTTCAACAAAGGTCGAGGGCTTGGGCTTAAGCCAACATATGAATATATGTTTTGTCTTGCTGTACTGCACTTACGCTATCTAGTCGCAGATAATTTTTTGTCTGCAAGTAGTGTTCTAGATTATAATGTCTTTCCAAAGCGCTGAGGCAGTGCACTATTGTGTAGTTGCAGCTGATGCCTGAATGTATCCTAGCTGACAAATTATTGATTAAAAAGAACTTGAATTTCTGAAAGATTCTTACTGCTAACCAAATTCTGAGCAAGGTCTCAAATGTAATTCTGAACCTGAATTACATGTTAATGAACTGTGTACCTTTTAACAGTATAATCAAGAAACATCAGTTAAGGGATTTCTTAATTATTTTTACCTGATTAAATATCAGTTAAAGGTGCCAGCATGGTTGCAAATAAACTGATATTTGAAGTTCACCGAACTACTTAATGTGGAATAGGATAATATCTCCAATGCCCTTGAGGCTGTGACCTTACAGCCATTTTACATAGCACATCATTCCTCCTATAGGGATGAACTTTTTCCTGGCACGTAAAGTAGCCGCTCTGGTCGAAGCTTTGCTTATTGTAACAGGCTTTATTTCCAGGTAACATGTCTGTGGAAGACTTAATTCGAATAAGATATAGATATTACTGGAAACTAATTGTTTTTCTATTGTACTCTGCTTTATCAAAAGTAAAACATTTAATGTGTACAGAATCAGATGTTTTGCAATCTTTAAACAATAAATGAGTGATTTCCCTTAATATGGCTGATGTATTTTGTGTCCTGTATATTGATGTTGACTGAATAATAGTGTCATCTAATGATTAAACCTACATTCAAGACATAATTGTACCTACATTTAGGTACAAAGAACATAAAAACAATCAGGTTTCCCTACTGTAGCTATGAATACTAAGAATTGTTTTCTTAGTCAAGCTGGTGGAACAGTGGGGTTGGTTTATGAACCATTTAAGAAGACAAAGCCTTTGGACCCCCGGCCCTCCAATCCATCTTGGTCCTCTTTGCTTATGACCTCTCTGGCTTTATTTTACCTTTGTAGTCTTGTTCTTTATGTGGACTAGTGTGTCTTGGTTCTTGGGGGCGAAATTATCTTCCTCGTTTGTACAATGGTTGAACTCTGCCATGAGGCTGAGGGAGGAGGCGATCAGTACATCAGAGAGCTGAGCAAGCTGGCGGCAGTTTCTCAGAGATGGAAATGAGAGGGAAATGTTTTTGAATAAAAATGTATGTTCTGGAGGGTTCAAGTAAGAAAAAAAAATTAAGGTAATTGCCAACTTCTGTTCTTTGGTGCCTTCAAAGCCTTACTGTGGATTAATGTTTGTTCCTAAAAGATGGTGTGTGAAGAAAGGTCCAGTAGCCTGCGCATAAAGTTTTTATCCATACCTTCTTCTATTTAAAATCTGCACCAGTTATTTCCAGTCTACTTCAGCTTTGCCTCTAAGGGCTTACTTGCACACCTGGAATAAACTTGTTGATTTACTGTATTTTATTTTTCTTTATTTTTTTATACTTCAAGACAACTTTTCAGTTTGTGGATTTATGAACTGTCTGTTTTAGGGTTGTATTCCAATCCTAACCCCCTCTTTTACTTGAAGCACATGCCTCTTAATGACAGCTCACATTTAGGTTCTGCCCAGACCTCTCAGGCAGAGTTATGAAATCCTCATTATTATGGAAAGGCTTGTTAGAGTTATTTGCAAGTCCGTGGTAAGAGATAGAGTAATAGACCCTTTAATCCAATTCAATTGAGAAGTACCTCTTGTGTTGTAGGGATTGTAGCAGTCCGCTGCGGAAGAGTAGGTTTGGAACTAG